TGCAGAAAGATGGATATATAATACATTAGTTTCCGGTAAACCTTGCAACAAATGCGCAATTTCGCATCATCATCATTTATCATTAGTGAATGTTTTGATGACAAAGTGATAAATTCTTACTGGTGTCACTGTTGCAGTCTGTAGAAATCAAATGCATCAATCATTCTTGTGGATTTTCAGAAATTATTCTGTCTAAGGTTTAGTACTGCGTCAGTTTTAAATCAGTTTTTGGAGGAAATCCTTGCATAAAATCAATAATAACTGTTGTGCTTAGCCGTACCTTTACCTTCTGTTCAAACTTCTCGTTCACTGTTCAAATATTCAAAAATATGCACAGATTGTTTGGTTCCAGCAAAGTATGTAGATGTTCAAAAAAAAAATGCCGAAGATACATAGTGTCTACAAGCATCTTAGCATCTTTGCTAATGACAAAGCCTGACAAAAAAGAGCTTCCAAAATGCTTTGAAGACAATACCAGGGATGAGATGATTTACTGTAAAAAAAGTCCCTGCTCTTATGAAGGGGAGGCATAGCACCTTCAAAACACATTTCTTAGTTTTTCTAATATATTTTCCATTTAAAATCCATATGAGCTTGTCTAAAACGCGATAAAGATTTCCATTCAATAAAAATAAATAAAATGATTTTTTCTGACAGTCTTGACCAACACGATATCGCCGGTATGATGGGGCTATCCGATCTAATATATAAAGAATCCTAACGCCAATTCAAAAATCATCAGATAGCGGGAAACCGCGGTTCCGCAGCGAACGTCTGCAAACTATCGCCTTTAGATTACTGGTTCACTAGTCTAATATATAAAGAATCGTTACCGCAATTCAAAAAACATCAGATAGCAGGAAATGGCGGTGCGGTCCCGAAGCGCGCGGATGCCATCTGACGCCTTTGATTACTACTAGTATTTGTGAAGGTTTTTGTTCACCCTTGGGCAAATGGCTCTTTCCACTTTGGACGCACGTGGTCTGCTAGAAATGCGTTCGTTAAGAGCGCTTATCACTATGCGCGTCAACCAGACCATAAAAAGTGTGCAACCGTCTGTTGCTCAAGTCTATGCTACAAACTTTAGCGAAGAAGTCCATTAATTACTGTCAAATGAGCAGTTCAGAAAGGCTCTGTATGTAGTTTGATTGGAAATGCAAGAAAGAATTGGCTGCTAAAGCTTCGAAAAAATAACTTTGCAAGAAATCTTTCGTAGAAACAATTTCTTTATTAATTGCTTACAGTTTTTTGACAGCGGAGCAAGTGAACTCTCTCTACAGAACTCACCTCATATCCTCAAAATTGTTCAGAATTTGCGAAAGGAAAACGGGAGAGTTTTACATACTTAAATGCCAATTCAATATGCAAAAGCATGTGTATTCTTTATCACCTAAAGACTTTGCGTGACGAAGGCGCCGAAGCAGTGTTAAATGAGCACGCACAAAAGCGACGCGAGCGTATCTCAAAGGCAGCGTCCTCCCAAAATATATTCATCCCAGATTATGACTTATCCAACAACCAGGCCCCTAAAAGTAGACCAACCGCATTGGTCCAGTTCCCTAATGTTGCCTGCACAAGGAGATAACGGACCGGATCCTCTTTGCGCTCCGCCCCTTTTTTGGGCTCCACCCACCCACGGATTGCCCCGAGACGTGTTCTGACATGACAAGCAATGTCGAGACGCATAGTTTGCAATGTGGCACCGTTGCAACGACGGGATTTGCTGTAGCATACGAAGTGACTAGCGCCAGCACACTCGTCCACGTTTGCCAAATTAGGGCTTCAGAAAAGGGCAATTTTGAAGTTTCTTGGTGATTTGAACCTCATATTCCGAATCAGCGCTATGGAAAGGCCCGATAACAATAAAAACATGGAAAAATTTTGGGTGTATGCTGCCTTTGAGCATGGTGAATCCTGCGCCTCATGCGCTCCGCCACTAATAAAGCCGCGTTTGTTCCCAAAGATATTGCGCCTTCGTCATGGAACAGCCTGTAAAATTGTGTTGTAATGTTTGATCAAGAGTATAGCTTACACAAGTTGTTCTTTTGACATTTGGAACGCAAATGGTATGATAACAAGCAAGTTATAGCTGCAAATTCTGAAGCTTACAAGGACCGAAGGCTTCCTATGAGATTGTGAAAAGCTTGAACTGAGGATCGCTGCATCTCCATAAGCAATATCAGTGTACTAAAAGGTCTAATCTTTTTTAAAAGCTGATAACTTACGGAAATAATTCAAGGCTCAATTATTTGAATAGAAAAGCGGCATTGAATAGCTTTCCAAATAGAGAGGTTTTAAACCAAGAAAAGCTTGAAGCTGGACTCTAACATTTTGAAATTTCGCTTAAGCTTTACGGAACACTACCTATGTCTGCAAAATGTGGTGAAGGAGCGTTATCAGCGATTTATTAGTTTCGTCACTCTGTATTTTAGCCACCTGACAAGCAACTAAGGAAGGAATACATAACTTAATGTCTGCAGAAAGATTATGCGGCAATACTCTACCGCTTATGATTCGTCATTCGCTTATGATTATTTCGGTGAACTCACCGAAGTTCACCGAAATCTGCATCGCATCGCTATGTCTTGGTCCAGAGGGCATTCTGAATTTAAACTGTTCGAGCTCGGCTTAGGCGCATCTTCTGATATATAAAAGTGCCTGTTCAGATACGGTAGGTGCACATTAAGCGGTCACATTTCACAGATCCCATAGGTTGGTTATGGTAGGTTATTCAATGTGCTTATTCGTTGCCCAATGATCCACCGTAAGCAAATCTAAAATACCACGTTCATTACCGTATCCGAACGGCCACTTCCACACTTCCATTTATCAGAAGATGCGCCCCGCCGAGCTGAGTCGTCGTACCCTTGGATTCAGGATTCGTTCACTCTAACCAGGATTTGACAAAGCGATGCGGAGTATAGCAAAATCACGTAGAGAGTAATTTTTTCGCCATTATGGGTGGTATTCATACACAAAAGTAGGTAAGGAATCGCAGGAAGTCCAAGGCAGTAAAACGGACAATTTCGTTCATTCAAGGCATTGGTAAGTCTTGTGCATGTTTAAAACATGTAAGATGAGTTACCAGGTGCTGTCTTGATTGGTACGGGTACCAACATGGAGACTTACATATATAGCCACGTCTGACGTTCTCCTCACTCGCCAGCGAGATGCGCTCTGCTTCCAAGTAGTAGTTTGTTGCTTTATCAGTTTGGTACGACCATGTCCGATCATGCTTTATTTCACTCTGTAATTCGCTTCCTACCACTGTTGTTTCTCAAAAGCTCAGTTACTCATTGCGATTTGAGTTAAATGCATTCAGGTAAATCTGGACACATGGGACCGCACCAGTAAACTTTGAGACCTAATTAAGAATTATCCAAGGGGAGGGGTGCAGATTGCTTTAGTTATCATACTTATATGCCTTGCTGACGCTTACAAATGAATCTGTTCTAAAATCTGCCACCGTTGGAGGAACTTGGTGCAGCTTTTTCCATTCTAATTTGACGCAATTCTCCAGAATCCCAGCGGTGTGCCTGTCATTGATGATGATGTTCATAGCGCGTTTCGTGAGGAATGACCACTTTCCCAGGAAACGCGAATTGACGAAATTTGTACAGAAGCTTAGAGAGGAGGTTTGGAACGAGCTCTTTTTCTCAGCATTCGCATGGCTGGGAAAGTTATCTAAAGTAATTAAGGTTATAAGTTCAAATTTGATAGAAACTCGACACGGACTTCGCATCATACCGAAAATCAGAATGGGTTAATGAGTTCAACTTTCGAAAAAGGAACTTTATTCGAAGTTGGTGTTATAGAGCTTGTGGCAAGTCAAGCCTGAGCCATATTGTTGGATTTATCAAATTACTTTGGCTTTTTTCGCTGCCGGATCCCAATACTAGCAGAAAGATGGATGGCTTTTTTTCTAGAACTGATCTGTTCTCCCAATTCTCAGATACTAGAGGAATAAGCCAGAATTTTGTGGCGTGAGAATGAAAAGCCTCCCCTCCTGTGTCTTAGTCTAGTACGACTTTTTTCCATCAAATTTTCTTCTAAAAAGCTTAGCTATTTTCAAGAAGCTCTTTTTACGCTGTATCCAGTATTGTTTGAAACAAGCTTCTAGCCTCATTCATTTAGACTTTGTTGAGCTTCACACAGGCGCACTCGAAACCAGAATTCCACTGCATTTACTATTCTGGCCAGAATTCAGGCGCAAATGAAAGCATTCTTTTGAAAATTCAGCTACAATATGTAGTGGAAATTGTCTACATTATACACTTTACTATTTTCTTAGAAATCACTTAGAGTGAGATTTCGACGCCTCAAAATGGGTAGCCGTTTTGGTCATTCTGTGGCCCACAAAATTCGTTTGAAGAAGGCAATCACCAAAGCTTTGCTCATTTGTGTAAGCGTAAGAGTGGGCCTCATGTTAGCAGTTTTTACAAAAATGTATAGCTGCTCAGTACGCAGAAAATCAAGAAGAAATTTCTTTTGAGCCATTAGGGCCTACGAAAAAATGTTGAAAAAAGCCGACAATTTTGAATTTTGATTTTTCCTTTTCGCAGATCTTCTCTGTTTGAGCCATACGTCTTTTTTTGTACTACTGACATGCGACTACAAGATAGGCTACTTAGCATTTATACTAACAAATTTTAAAGGGAGTATGATTAGTCAAAACGAAGTTTCAGAAGAACTTTTTGTGCTTATCAATACAAATTTTTCTGCCCATTTGTGTAGGTGAGTGCGCGCTGTATTTCGAAGGGTTTGATGCCTCTGGTGGTCTTTATCGCAATGACAAATGTTTCAGAAAGTTTTAGCACGTCATAGTGAGAACTTTTAAAACGCGCATTACTTTTGTACCAAACTAATACATCCTTTATCTGCAAGCGAAGAGAAATGGAAACATCAATAAGTGATCGAAACCTTAAGCCGGCCAAATCCTAACGAATTTTTTGTACGCCCAGGCTTCCAATACGTTCTAGCACTAGTCAGGCTGAGTAGAAATGTTCATTGGAGCTGTGCTGTCGACGGACAGCCAGCGCAGTGCGAGACAGCGTTGTCGGCGTGGAGGATCTCGGCTGACCTCGTGCGTCGTCTGACGGGCGAACGTCAGTCGATATCGACTCGCTGCAATCGGTGCCATTGAACAGGGCCTTTACTAGCCCTTTCCGTTACAATCTTGCTCGATTTGAGGCTCTTTTTTCAATTTTAATTTCACTTAGTTCCTTTGTAGCTCAGTTTCAACGAAATTCAACTCTGTCCTGCCCAAAACTTGTCCGCACGTCTTATTTTTTTATGCAAACGAATTCATAAGCCGCTTATCAACGTATCTCTTCTTTTTGTATAGTTTTTGTGTTTTTCTTCAATTCTCGCTTTCTCTCAGTTCATTTGAAATTGTATAACGATAAATGAGTGTCAGATAATTGCCTTGAAGTAATCTGAAGCTTCAGCTTCATTCCCGTTCTTATTTTGGCAAACACTTCAAATTAAGAGTACCCAAAGGCGAAACTCGGATTAATTATTGAGTTGGTGCGCAATTCTTGCCAAATAAAAATAATTTTTCTTCAAAAGCTTGAATAGATTAGTCACTCTCTATAAAATGCGTTTTGTTACGTCAGTGATGTTTTTAATACGTTCTAGAAAATCAGTTTGAGACAAAATTATTATAATAAGTCGAATTCAGAAGATCAAAATTCAGAATTTCTGGTAAAATATTTGATCCACTACCATCTCTTTCTAGTTAAAAGTAGATGGTAAAGCCAAGTCCAAAAATAAATTTAGATTCCTATGAGATTTTTAGCGATTTTAGCGACCAAATTTCGAAAAAATACTTTTTTAGTAGATCTCTCTCGATCAGCTCGTATTGTTGCGGTATGTTAACAAAGAATTTGATTCAAGCGCCTGCAAGCGCAACATTTTCTCGCTCTACTGTAAATTAGAGGGTTTAATTAGAAGTGGAGAAAGTAGCGTAATCTCAAAAATCTTGGTGGAGGCGCTATGCATCAACATTAAACCATTTATAGCCGTGAGCTTACAAAATTGATATTTGAAATCTGCAAAACTCCTTCTAAAAAGCACCGTCCACCCAGATTCTGACTTTCATGTTATCGTTCCGGGCCTTCTCATGTCTCCCCTGATCCCGAATATGAATTCAAAAAACCGAAAACCCTGACAATCCCTGTTCCAAAATACCCGCAGTCCGGCTCTCCGGGACGGTGAGTGGATGGGCGCGCCGGGATGGGCGGACATTACTGGAGGGGGCGGTGCCGACTTAGGGGTTCGTCATGCATTTTCGCTTTTCCGAAACGATTTTCTCGCTTCCGAAGCGGCATTTTGCGCCGCGATTGGGCGTTGACTTGATATGGGGTCCTACTGTCGTACACTGCCTTTAGCTCAAGACTTAACTTAGGGCGGACGGTGCCGTCAATACTTCGAAGTTTTTTTTGAGTTTTCGAAAGGGAAGTTTCAACATCACTACGGATTGTGAGCGATCTTTGCTGTCCTTACCGTCTGCGCGAGGTGAGAGCTTATTTGTCCTCATGATATGAGCTCTATACAGGGTTTCCCAAAAAGATGTGCACACTGTTTGATCGTTAGTAACTCTCTTGCTATGATGTCTTTCGGAGCATGAGGTACCATTCTGTAGAGCGAGATTGAATTACATTCACAGTATGGCGCAATGATTAATCCCTCTTCATTACTGTAGGATTACGGTATGGACTTTCAGCCTACAACGCCACGGTGGAATAGGCCTTTTAGAGCAAAAATTTCCAAGAAAACTGAAAATTTGTGCATCAAGGTTTTTGGGCTTGCGATTTCACTACACTTAGCAGCTTTTCGAGCTTTTTAATGGTGTGATCATACTTCTGACGAATACTGGAACTTGTTACCTTAAAACTGAAATAACTTATGGAAAAAGCATCACAGTGAAGCGCATTTCATATTTAGAATTAAAGATTCCAATTAGTCCAGCGCAAGAGTTTCTGTGTTTGGTCTTTATGAGGCAAAACTCGCTTTCATTTTCCGAAAGTTCTTTTTGAAGCTACTACCTAATGAAGAGCGATTGATATTTCGCTTCATACCGCGAGTCCATGTGAACCTCGCCCTACAGGATGGTGCCTCAAGCTCGAAAAACATGGAAGCAAGAGAGTTATTAACGGTCAAATAGTGTGCACACCTATTTGGGACACCCTGTATTTCGTTGCGCCTTTCGTTTGCAATTTGAGAAAATTCAGACTCATCGCTCACAGACCACACATGCTTTCCGTAACCTGAACTTTCAAGGAAAATATTTTTACGAGGCTAATTTGGATCCTTGAAATACTTGAAAAATTATTACAGTCCTTAACTTGCTTTTTTCGTTTTTCTTATGTAACCAAACTTCCTATGCTTAATATTTCAGAAACAATGAGACCTACGAGGCCACCACCGAATAAAATGCCTGGAGCTGTCTCGAAATATATCGTTGAATACTACGTGCGGAATTCGGATGTGCTTCTCACCAATACCAGTTTGCGAACAATGGAAGCGAACACGCTGAGAGCACTAGCGATAAAAAAGCTCATCGCCGAGTTGCAGGAGCAGTTCGGATATTCTACAACGGAAAGGAAAATAAGAAATCATTTCGATCATGTTCGATCGAAATGTCTGAGCAAAGGCGGTGGATTGGGCCTCCCGAGCGCTGAAAGAAATAGGTACAGTTTTGAACTATCGGTGTAATCTGATTGATATTGAGGCAATATGGTGCATTTGCACCATATTTCTTCAACGCAGACACGCTAGTTCCCAGCTTTTACGGCGGCACAGTTCTAGCTCTTAGTTACTCCACGTACAGTGAATCCCAATCTTAGTGTCACGGTCAGCGCTGCTGGGATCCTCGCGAGCCGCTTCGCTTTGGTCTCGCGCCGCGTTCCTCCTTGCCGAACGTGACACTCAGATTGGAATGTCCTGTGCGCGGCTTTTTGCCTCTCAGTATTATAAGTAAGCTCCTGTAAATTATCATTTCTTCAGATTCGTCCATAGAGATGCAGAACGTAACTCGTTCGGAGAGCTAAGAAAAAGGGTGTTTCTAAATTCTGGAGAGCAGGCTTTGTTGAGATATTATAAAAGCCAGGAGGCTGATAATGCCAGAGAACAGGTTAGATGTACTACTCTGCAGTATACATTTTATGACAGTTTTTTAGGGAACCTCACAGCACAACCAAATGTTCATGAGAGAAAGAGAAAGCTTCAATAGAATGCACACGCGAGAAGATGATCATCAGCACTCCGCGTCTGAAGAGGTTGAGGTCAAAGAAGAATCTCGGCCTGCTGACTTGTCCGATGACTGTGTAATTGTAAGTTAATATTTTTTTCACTTCCTACAGTATTTGCTAACTTGCTATATTTCTTTCAGGAGGAATTAACGGGTTTTGATGAAGAAGAATCCAATGACAATGGTCGCATAGATGTAGACAGTCCAACTTGCCCGTTCTCACATGCTTGTGAATCTAGTTCTGAAGCTATGAATGAGTTACGACTGCTGTGCATGGTATGCTTTTCTCGTTATCAGCTTTTTTTCACGCTTTGGTACTACATTTTTCATATTTTGCTTTTGAGGTCTCAAAATTCCGTAGTTTTTGTTTTTGATTAATTTGAATGAATTGAGCTCGATATAAGACTAATTGCACTATTGAAAGTTTTGTTCCAAGTGAATCAGTTGGATTGTGATGGTTTGTGGAAAGTGTTATAATTTTCAGGACGATTAAAATCTATGTTTTCTTTTAGAATAAATTAACTGTTTTCTTTTGAAGCTTCCTTTTTTCATTGATTTGACTTCTAGCTTTTTTTTACATGGTCATAGTAGTTTTGTAGCTACTGAATTTTTTATTGTGATAGTAATATCAATAGTAATTTTGAAAAGCACCATTTTCAACTGCCAATATCATTTCCTGGCTTTCTTGTCTTTATTTCTACTTTGGGAAAAATTCATCTACAGCTCAGCCTCAAATAAATTCCAAAATTGAGTGTGGAGTCATGCAATGTATATATTTGGAATGGATCCAACTTCGTTTAGGAACAGCGTCAATTTTTCCGAGAAATGACAGAAATGGCCCAAGAAGTTTGCTCATTTGTTCGCCTGGCCAAAGAGCAATTATTGGAACGGTCATCTGCTAACTGTTCGCTTGGCACTAAGGCTATGTCAAGTGCGTGGAAGTCCAAAATAGCCAAATCTTTGTTGTAATATGCTTTCGATTTTGATCGAAAATTTGTAGATTTGTTGATTTTGTTGTTATCTATGCCTTGAAGTCAAAAATGTTATTGTTTTTGTCTTGGATATCTTTTTCCATTTAGCTTTAGATAGATGGGTGCCTAAAAGCTATATAGGGTACCATTATAAATAAAGTTATGAATTTCGGTAGTGCCTTATTCCATAAAATAGCCTACGAATAGTTCTTATCACCTCCGGAAACAAAGTATTAGGCCGTTCCATAAGTTTGATTTTCATAAATTGACGAAATGCCGAAATGTTTCAAAAATCAGTTGACAATGTATTTTATGCTGTTGAGCGCAACCTTCTACCACCTTGTGTCAAATTTTCAACTTTGTCTTTCCAAAACTCAGAACGTCTGGTCTCAAATGAGTCGTCTAGCCAGCGCCGAAGATCCTTTAAAACCGCAACAAGCACCGTTCATACGGTTTGCAAGAGAACGGGACAAATGATCATCTGGTAGGGCGAAATCTAAGGAGTACAAGGAGTCGGATACTAGTATCTCTCCCTGCAAAAAGTCTTGTTCAAGGGACACCTTGTAAACTCTTGATTTGTTTGGAGCAATCTACCCCTTTTGCCTCATACCAACGGGAAAGCGCCATTTTTTATGATCGGCAAAAAAATTTATGCTAAAATACTTTTATTGAAGGAAAGAGCAGATGTCGAAAATGTTTCTTTTTGTTTTCTGAAACTTCCGTAATTTAGAAGTTGAGAAATTAAAGTGGGTTAGCTTTCCATCGAAACCAGTAGGTTCATTTTAAAGTGCATGACTAGCTCTTTCAAACGATATGCGCAGCTTGTCGCAAATCAACCGCCTTCCATAGAAATTAGGACGAGAATGAAAACGTTATGAATTCATGCAACTTAATATATTAGGTCGTTCCGAAAGTAATGTCGCTTTTTTTAAATGAACGCCACATTTCGTGGAACCAAGATTTTCAAGAGCTCTTGGAATCAGTCGATGCAGAATTTCATCCTCTTTCTAATGGTTGTAATCCCATTGCATAATATTCAATGAGCTCTCAAAAAATTACTAAAACCTGCGACTTATGCTTTTTGTCATGGTCAAGTTCGGCTATTTTTCTATATTTTTGTACTGATTTCCCGAAGATGAGCAAGTCACAGATAAATAGATCAAACCCTATAGGACACAAAACAATTTTTTTCTTTTCCTTAGTTTGCTTCTTGGAGTTTGTAGAACCAATTTCTCAGTGCTATCAAATTCCATATTTGGTCAACTCAGACCTCACAGAACAACAACCGGCAAGCAACTCGAGTGTCATTAGACGCAGCTTTTTCTCCTCTTTCTACCAGTTGTTTTTGGTTTCCGATTCACCAAGTTTTCCGGGATGAAATCATCATAATTCAGGTTTTCTAAGGCGCCCCAGGCTGTACCCAAAATTTCCGAAAGTTGCTAATCTGAAGCGGTAAATGCTCATATGCTTTGTAAAATTAGTGTTAAACCATAATCCACCTTTGTAAGTTTCAGAATCCGAAAGTTTATTGGTGTTTGATGCATATGTGTTTGAGACAAGCCTGCAAAAATTAGGTGACTTTATTGAAAAATCTCTACACAAATTATGACGAGATACGGAGGGCAGCAAAAAATAGCATCGTTTCCTATAGGGTTTGCTCTATCCATCCATTACTTGGACTCCTTCCGGGAGTTATTACAAAGAATTAGAAAAATTGTGAAACTTGACCTTCCCAAAAAGCATGTGTTGGAGATTTTAATAATTTTTCAAAAGCTCATCGAGTATTCTGCAGTGGAATTATAGCCATTGGAAAGAGGATGAAATGCTGCATCGAATGCTACCAAGATCTCCTAGAAACCTTGCTTCCACGAAATGTAGCGTTCAATTGAAAAAAGCGACATTACTTTCGGAACGACCTAATAAAACTGTTTTGGATTTATTCTTTGGGTCTCCTTGTAACGGTGTGCAAATTATATTTTCTTGTTTTCTCAGCGTAACAAAAAATTTTTCATCTTTTGTAGAAACGAACGCAACGCACTCTTTACGTATCCATAGATTTTTAATATTGAAAAAAAAATAGCGCTCAAAACTAAAGGATATTTCAAAGGCTATCAATTTTGTAGGGAGGCTGGGTGTATATCAAGAGGCGCGATCTTTATTGCCAGATGGACACTAATTAGTGCATTTTTGCATTTTTATGATGTTCTAGGAGCAACTCAAATTTTTAACAAGATATAATTGGTCGTTCATTTGACGCTGACTGGTATACAGGGTGTCCCAAAAGTATGTATCGAACGTTTGATCGTTAATAACTCTCTTCCCAAGAAGTCTTTTGCCTTGCTTTAGGTACCGTTTTGTAGAGCTGGCTTCAACTTAGATTTGCACTATAGAACGAATCATTCATCTCTCTTCATTACTGTAGGATTACGGTAGAAACTTGAAACATATGGTGTTAATGTGAAAAAAGCTGCCGTTTCAAAATTTTTCAAAAAATCGTGAAAACTTGTGTAATAGGGTTTTTATGGACGCTGAGTTCAATAATTAACTATTCACAAGATTACGAAGCTTTCTAAACGGTGCAATCCCACTTTTTAGGAACATTGAAAAAATGGCCGCTACTTCTTACCTGGCATAACTCTTCAATAAAGCATCATAATAAGTTGGGAACTTTACAGTTATAATCAGCAACTCTAATTAGCCTAGTGTAAAAGTTTTAAGGCTGTTTTGTTTCCTTTCTGGGGCAAAATATGGCCTTTCATTGCTTAAAACCCTCATTGAAGTTTCTACCGTAATCCTACAGTAATGAAGAGAAATGAGTGATTCGTTCTATACTGCAAATCTAAGTTGAAGCCAGCTCTACAAAACGGTACCTGAAGCAAGGCAAAAGACTTCTTGGGAAGAGAGTTATTAACGATCAAACGTTCGATACATACTTTTGGGACACCCTGTATTGTGATATTCATAAATACAGTGCTGTTCATAATTATACGAACACTAAGATAAGATTGCACTCGCTAATGAAAAATGGACCTTTGTTTGAGGTGTTCGTATAATTATGAACCGCTCGAAATTAAGCGCAAAAACACTTCCAAGATTGACATCGATTTCCATTCTTGTGGATCGTATGCCGTTTTCGGCTGTGCTTTTTCGCGTGGTACAGCGGCTTTTTGAGTTTCTTCCAAATAGTCCAGAAATTTCTGAAATTTGGGTGTTCGTATAATTATGAACCGCACTATATTATAGTCTTATTAGATGGACCACAGGAAGCAGGCGAGGCTCAGTTTTCATAAGAAAATTCTTGTAAGGGAAAGGCCGAGAACGAAATGCAGATGCGCAGGTAGAACTTTTACTCGCTTTCTATCTGCTCTTTAAGTTTCTCTATGAGAGCATTGCCAGATTTGAAAGCTTAAATGCGTATTTAATTCAAACTTAACCATCACACTCCTCATCACTTTTAGAAGTGATAATTATGGTGGAAACTGGGTAGAAGTAAACATTTTGTAGTGGAAACGCTCATTTGGCGCATGAACACCAATAAAAACCAAATTTTTCCTTCAGTCATCGTACCTCCTCTCCAAATGTTGTAAAATCGCTTCGATTAGGGGTTGTTTTTTTTTTCAAAAGAAAACTTGAAAAGGAAAGGACTAAAGGAATTCGCTGTCTTTGCTCTAGCCTGGGGTTGATTCATAGCAAAGCGATTGTTGAGATGCATCACATACTAACTGCGTGATTTATATGCTCTTTACTTATTTGGAAGTCTAGAGATAGAATGTTGATTTGAAATAGATATTTCGATTAGAAATCATCTTAGGCCCCAAAGTTCTTGAACATCGACTAGTTTAACAACTTCAAAGCCCTTGTTTGTCTAAAAGTTGATAACAGAGTATTTTTGTCAACAGTGGATTACGAGACTCCTAATCTACACCTCATATCAACAAGAATCTAGTGTTGCTTGAAAGACATTGACACAGTTCACTGAGTCAGCTCCACTTCAAACTGTCTGGCACATCACCTGATCGCCTCAAAAAAGTACTTCTAATTTTTGGAGGAATTCAGTTAAGAAGGATGTGTCTTATGTTTACCTTATTTAGAATTCAGTTTACCTTCCTCGTTGTAAGTGATGAAATTTGTTGCATTCAAACAAGTATTTTTGTTGAAAAAAAAGCAGAATTTGGAGGTAAAAAAAACGCGAGAATGCATTGATTAGCAATTTTGTGAATATTTCAATCAATCTTCCACCATTAGCCGTCAAACTTAATAGGTGGTAACTTCCGATATCAAGCTAGACCACATTGTCTGTTATTTTTAAAGACTCGCATAGCTCTGAATTTTGCTGTTGTATTGGTGACCTGTGAAGAAATCGCGCCTCTTGACCGTCTCCCCATTTTTAAGTATAAGCTGCAGGTTTTGGTCTATTTGAAAATTGTAAAAACACTTTCTGTTGGGACGAATTCTAAAGCTGTTTGCACTAGACGCCAAAGTTGATCAGAAACCTTCAGAATGTATAGCACTGTAAAAACTGAGTCTCACAATAGAATGTTGCTATCTCCTGCAGGGATTACATGTTGTCCGTAAGTGCAACTCAGAACACTCCTAAACTGGAAATTCCTTGATAATCTTATTTCTCGCGCTAGTGGAATCTCCCACAGGAGCATGAGGTCACTTATGACGCATTGCTTGATGTATCCTTCCCTTCGCCAAATTCTCGATTCAATTTAGTTTACCTGGCTGCTGGCAATGACGCGTGAAAGGCGCGCAGAATGGCAGAGTTCGAATGAATCAGCTCAATCTATTCAACTTCAGAAACGTATGAGCACAGGCGTTGCGCAAACCTTCTTATAAGCCAAGGACGACTGGCGACGTTGATTCACAGCATGTCATTTCGTTATTCTTCTATAATTCTACTGCTGCTACTTTTCTCGCTCGCCACTATGATAGAATCATGTTCGAGAAGGGTAGGTCTAAATTATTTAGTTAAAGCATTTAAAATGCAGCTTTTTTCACTTACTGCAGCGATGGTGCTACGATGCTCCTGTATGCTATTCTATGCCGATGGTCTGTCTTATGCCCCACTGGAGACACAGATGTCCTAGACTATGTGGGCTGTGTTGATAATTTGCTAAAGCGTGATTACGTCTCATCAAGAATTTTTACTATGAATCTCTGCTACACTACGTTTTTTGAAGTAAATTTATGCTAATGAAAGTTTATACTCTTTACTCTCGCTTTATACAATACATCACTTCTACCATCGCTTTCCTTTTTGCAAAAATGACTGAGCACATGTAAGGGTAAATAGCAGCGACACGCATGTGATTATCAATACTTTTTTCGTCCTCCAGTTCATGCTTGCAAAAAGAAGTCGCAAGAGCAGCTCTACTCTCTCAAATTAAACACCAAAGGTGCAACCTATAGGTATTTTTGAAATCGTGACGAGTTTGACTGCGATTTTTGCGCCCACAGGAGCATAAATATTGATACGAAAACGCATCACCTTAAATGCTCAGCTCAATCACTTCCAATGTTCAAACACTATCATGGGTAAGCAGAAGAACCATTCGAGAGAGGTAGAAGCCAAGAAAATGCGATTGCTGGAAGTGCGTGGGTGTCGCGCGCAGTCGCCCCATCCTCACGATTTCCCGATGCCTTATATGTGTTAATGAGCTTGCTTCCAAACGTCTGATAACTTCTTCTGACTGACTGAGCCACACCAAGATTGTTATAATGTTTTATTCGGCTAACGTTTAAGCTTGTTCGCCTTTGTCAGAGCCTTTCCAACCGATAAGGAGAGACTATATACCACTCAGACGACTGACCGGAACTTCCGCAGAACGTTTGGAAAAATTCCGCCGGGTCGCTTGCGGAAGTTCCGTAAAGGTGTTGCGGAAGTTCAGAAGAATGCGAACCACAACAGCAAAAGGGAACATCTAGGCGAGATTTGAACCTTACTCTATTGACTGTAAGAATCACCTACTATCCTCTCCACTACGGCTGACATGTTCGAAAACGCACTCTAGTTGTTGGCGAGAAACATCATACGAGACAGCACATTCAAAACCCTGTGAAAGTACTGGCATGTCAAAGTGCTGCGGAACCGCCGGCATTTTTCGGAAGTCCCGCAGCGCTTTGTAAAAGGTCCTGCGGAAGTTCCCGTTTTCAACGTTTTGCTTTTGCAATTGTAAACAAAATCCTGCGGAACCGCTGCAAATTTTGCTTGTCCTGCAAAAGTTCTGGTGAATTGTCTGAGCACTCACTGCTGGGCACTAAGAATGGAATGTTATGGAATGTCTGATAACTCGTCGACAGGCTTGCAATTTGGTAGAAGCAGGCGGCATCTGCTTCTTTGCCATCCGACATATTTGTGCTATTGGTATTGGTGTGAAAGCACTCCAGCAATTGTTGATATCGTGAAAGCATTGAGATGTTGA